CCACACGCTTCCCGCAAAGCTCGGCCCACGTCACGTGGTTCGCGAAGACCTGGGCCGCCGCAGGCAGCCGCAGGCCCTGGGGAAGCACGCGTCGGACGCGTGTAGCGCGGTCGGAGGGATCATGAAAAGAGGTGTGCCCGAAGCAACGGGGAAGGGATGGGATGCCGAAACAAGATGGCATCGAAAGACGGAAAGACGCAGGGACAAAAGGCTGATAGAGGCCATATACAGGAAGAGATGGAAATAAAAAGCAAGCCATCAGGCCATGTCAGGCCACCTGGCATGAGCGATGTTTTCTGGGATACCAATGGTCCCAACTTTCTTTGGCCCTGCCTTTTGATTGGGGAAGTCCACGGTGACCTCAGCCCATGGCCCTCCTGTAGGCTGCCCCTCATGGGAGCAGGAGGCTGGACCGAAGCAGCGAGCATGGCAGCTGCAACCTCGTTCGGCTTTTCACGAGAGGCTCCACATATTCGGGGGTTGGAATGAAAGGGACAACTGGAGAAAGAAAAGACCATCACTTGAGTGGCCCAAAGACCAGGCCTCCTGGTTTTGTTTTGGAGGTCCTCTGCAGTTCGCTCCGCCCTTGGGCACCTCACAACACTCCCAGCCACCTGGCCCCTGACCCAACCCCGACCCAACAACTCCCAGGCACGGAATGGGCAGTCGCCACTTGGTGGAGTGTATGAAACCTGCAAGGGTGTGGGGGTCCAGTGGCTCAGCATCCCAATCATATTGAACATGTTTGAGGCACCAAGTCCCACCACTTGCCCTTTTAAAAATCCAAAAAAAAAACATGCAGCAGTGGTGCAGTGCTACGTTTTTGCCCTATTCCTGCCTGGAAGCTCACCTCCTCTTCGTTGACGAGGTTGAACGGGATCCGCGAACGCGTGGCGAACTCACCAAAAAGGGGGGAGCTGCTGCGCACCACCAGCGCCCCATCGCTCGTGACCCTGGCAGCCCCCAAGGTTCTCTACGAAAGCTCCCAAGCCCAGAAGGGCCAGGAGAAGAAAAAAGAGGGGCAACAAAAGGGAGAAACAACAACTTCCTTATCTTGGGACAGGTTTGAGTCACACTGAGATTGCATCAAGTCCACCAGTATGCACCTCCGTGTGCTGCCGGTGTACTGCCGTCCAGCCCGAACGTACACCGGCGGGAACGGCCGCGCACCTGGAAGAGTTTTCGAAGGCATTCATGCCTTCACACAGCGCTCGAACAAATGCAAGCGCTTCCTCCAGGCTATCCTCAGGTGCGGTGCGCCGCTTGGCGCGCGGTCCGTTCTTTGGCACCCCTCACGCATTCTGGCCGCCAGATTCTATGTCTATGTCCTTTTAGATCTTTCTAATTTATAGTAAACTCTCGGGTTCCAACCAGGCATCCTGCTGGACGCCGTGCACCAGGCGCTGTCGTGCAAGACGTTCAAAGCCTGGGATTGGCTGACACGACCAAAGACGACACTTCTGAAACTTCTGACCCCATACTAAACAGAGATATGAGATATGGATGTGGATCTTTTAGGGACACCCACTGGCCCAAAGGGCTTTGGTATGAAATCTATTCTATGTTCTTCCACGACGTCTACGGGCACACACACCCGTAGCCTGGACGGGGCCTGCGTAGCCTTCAAGCCTTTGGACGTGCAAAAATTTTGAGAGATCCAACGGACAGGTCAGAAAGCAAAGAACGGTCCGGGTCGACTAGTAACAAGTGCATCGCTACTAGTAGGGAAGGGCATCGCTACTAGCAACAAGAAGCTACTAGTAGCCATAAATCAGGCCACTCTCAAGGTCCTTCATCAAAACGCCCTCGCCACCGGGCGCCACCGGCGCACCGGGCGCCACCGGCGCACCGGGCGCCCGTTCGCCGCGCGCATTCGCCGCCTGCAGCGGCTGCTCCGCTCAATGACTCGAAACATGGCAAGGCTGTGGAGCAATGAAGCGATATTGATATGATGACGACCTTTTCTTGTTCAAGAGCACCCACTCCCCCAAAAAAGTATTTCGAACAATGGAAAGAGATGGTTCTGTTTAAAAAGAGCTGAGGAGGTGCCTCTTCAGTGTCCTTGGGCGGTGGACCTTTTTCGTTTTTGGCCCACTCATAGGCGACGAAGACCAAACAGGTCAAGGAAGATGTCGCCAGGCGATCGAGCCATTTGCTTTCCTTCAAGCCGTTGGGCAACATGGCTCGCTGGATTGCAGCGTGTGGTAGGGAAACGGCCCTGGTTTAAAGGTATCACTATCACCGTTGTGAGGAGGGGATGAACTTGTGCATCTTGTGCTGGATGATTTGGGGGGTGACGCTCAAGATTTCAGTGGGGGTCTGATTAGCTGGGCAGAGATCGGGGGTCAAAACATATCAGAATCATATCATATCTCATATCCCTCCATGTGCTGAAAGCCTCGCCGATGCCAAAAATGGTCATCTCCTCCGAGTTTTCCTTGAAGTCATGTGTAAACGGTGTAGATTCAGGTAGTGCAAAGGTCGAAAAACGCACGTGGCTTGCAAGTGGCTTGCACCCCAAATCGTGCAGCCGTGAGCCCTGCACACCAAGCTTCATACCACTGCTCAGGCTTTATCTCCACTTTCACCTCCTTCGGATGTCGGAAAGTCAACAGCCTTTGCAGGCAAAGACCGCATGGGAATTGGTGCACCTACGCATGGAAACCCCATCATTCCAAAGCCTAGTAGGTCAGCAATTGCCACACCATGCACCATTGTCATTGGAACAGCTCAAGTCCTCTACCAATCACGCATGTGGCATGCCCCAGTCAACTCATCTGGCATGCAATGCAAACAAACATCTCAAAACAAAAGATTCAAAAGGTGGCGGACGCCCATCCGCTGCAAAGATTGGCCTTCAGGGCTTAGCCTATTCCCATTCTATGCAAAAACACTCACCGGCCCACTCCTTTGCAGTCTTCAAATTGGCACCTTTCCCATCGCTTAGCTCCCACACAGAAAGGAGCGTGAACGCCAATAGCCACCAACGACCCATGGCGAGGCAAGGGGTTTTGAGATCTGGTGGCTCAGCCCGGCAGACTTTCACGCAGACGGAAAACGGTGCGGATGGAACGGGCATGAAAACGAACGTGCATAGAGAAAGGTGTGACAATCACTGGCTTCGAAAAAAGAACACCAACCCTTGTGTGACTTCGCTTTACATGTATGCTTACAGTTCAGCACACGGAAAAGAAAGAGAGCATGGTCCGTACGTTCACAAGTCTTCTCGATTCTCACCCATGACTGCCCGCCCACACGGAAAAAAACTCTCAAAAGCATCAGCCTCTAAAGAAGCCAAATGGACCGCGAGGAAAGATTCGGCTACCGCGGCATATCCAGGCTGCTGCTGCGCTGCACTTCCTCATGCCACTGAGCCACTGAGGCGGAGATGCCGCGGAATTTCCGGGGGTACCTGGCGCTGGATGTCTTTGAGTTTGGGATCTTCTTCCCGATGAACGGAACAGGTGTCCTATCGGAATGGTGTTCGATGATTTATCGATCCAACTTGGGGAACAGGTGTGCTTCTTTGTACGCATGCAGCGTTACTCTACTTTCCTTGCCAAAATCCAAAGCTTGCAAAAGCGAAGCACCCGACCCTTTCAAAAGCCCTCCCCAAAGCACCAATGATATGCTTCTTCCCTGCTTTATGCTGCTTTGCTTCTTTCAACCTCACAGTGGCGGCGCCTTTCGTACCCATCGGCCACAGCCAGCGGCCATATTCAAGCAGTCAAATATCCTTTCATCTGGTCTGCACATTTGAGCTTCTTGACCACTAAGACACCTTGCCGATTCATTCTACCAGTTCCATCCCTTTGCCATTGATGCTCAGTTCAGCGGGCTCTCGCTAGAAAGAAGTACGACGAGTCGACGAGTAACAAGGGATTCTTGGGTGGCGTCCGACATCTGTTCTCGACTCGGGCACACAGGACACATCGTTTTTTCTTGTTCATGGACACCGCCGCTTCGTTCCACCTTCGACCCTACCAGGCCTCACCGACCAAGCCACGACGTCGTAACACCACCTGGGAAACCTACGTCGTAACACCGCATGGTAGCAGCATTGCTTATGACCATGAAAAACGGGAACCGGCGTATGGACAGCGTAACAACATGCAACCATTCCGCCTGGCACATGATCCCAACAAATCTTGAGGGTCGCAGGTGTTCCAAATCTCGCATGCGTTGTTTGCGTACCCCAGGTGAGAACGATTCAAAACATCTGTGGCCTTTCCTGACATGAGTCATGGCTCCAAGAGCGTAGGGCTCTGCAAGCGCTTCTCACGACTCTTTTGTCATCGCAATTGTGTCACGTGGACGAGACCCCGGTACCCCGCACAGTTCTGTCCAAGCGAAAGCCCGGCAGACTGGGCGTGACAACGAGACAGCCAGTGCCCATAAAGCACGGGCCATGTCCCTGCAAAGCCTTGTTTTGAGGGAAACTTGTCAAGAAGAAACCGCCGGCGTCTAAGTGATGGCTTTCATCTGCTGAACCGTGCCCATCAAGGCTGCACAGGGCTTAAATAAATTGAACACTCAATTCGTGGATGGAAGAAGCCCTCTTTCTGTCCCATACCAACCAACAAACCAAGAGAACAAATCTGTAATGACAATCTCTGGCCCCATGGTTCTTTTCGACTGGCCTCCCCGCATGCTCAACCAAGGCACCTGGAAGTGTATGATTTAGATTCTGAGACAAAATCCAATCCGGGCATTCTGTCCATCATTACCTAAGCTGTGCCAAAACTCAGCTTGCATCGGCCGCCGGAGCAAAAGCCCCACTCAGCTCCTCCAGCTCTTCGTCACTGGGACCAGAGCCACTTTTAGTGGAAAGGTCACTTGCGCTCGAAGAAGCCCTCTGTCCTGTGAAAATGTCGATTCCCCAGGGTCGGAGGTCCGAAGACATACTTGCTTGATTTACTTGCTGTTGAACGCCTCTTGGAGCTTCAACCCTTAGGCTTATGATTTGCGCTCAACAAAATATAACAAAAGGCTTGGGTAACTTATGAATCATCCAAAGATCTCTCGTCTTCCAGGAATTCGTGTTTCTGCATGGACCAGCTGCAAGGCGCCCGATGTTGAGGCTCCACCTGAAGATGGCAATGAAGTAACGACATGGCCGCCTGCGACAAAAAGGGTGGGTAGCGCGCATCCCCCACGAGGACCTTCTCCTTGATCTCCTCACCGAGGGACAGAGAGGAAGGCAGGGTAGTGTAGGGACAAAATTCAAGAGTTAGGAAGAATTAACTTCAGAGGGATATGTTTTCCCTCGATCCTTGGTCCAACATAGGATGCGGAAAGAATCAAGAGCTACAGTAGTTCTTTTCAACTTGTTAATTCGCGAAGAATTAACTGTGGTTTTGATTCTTTTGCAGTGTGGTTTCATTGACCGTGGCTTGGGGCAAGGAGAATGTCTGCTTCAAAGTCCTCTTGGGAAACTGGTGACTAGGTGGTGGTGCCGATGCCCCATGCCCTGGGTCTTTACGTGACTTCAAAATCCATAAGTCAAGCAAATTCAATCTCCTCGTGGCTGCCCCAGAACGGGGGATGGCCCACTAAAACCTCATAGAACAAGCAGCCCAAGGCCCAGCAGTCGGTCGAATAGCTCTGGGGCGCCCGAGACCACTGCTCAGGTGCCCAGAATTCGGGCGTGCCACACGTCGTGAGGAGCAGTTTGTCCAGGGTCGCTTCGGCACTCCAACCGAAGTCGCAGATGCGCACATCGAACTCGGGGAGGCTCAAGAGGATGTTGTCCGCCTCTTGATCCGCGCTGGGCAGAAGGGCGGTCTGTGTGAGTTGGGTAACAAACCAAACAGAATTTATATATGTTGATGGTGAATGGTGAGAATATGTGAGAATGCTCAGACACCAATCTCTGACTTGACTAAGGTCAGAAAGGGGTTAGGTCGTAAATTGAGACGCCTTCCTCACAGGGCTACACCGAAACATGCACTGAAAAAATGTTTTGTCTCCGCTCGTTGGCTGATTCACTGGCGAAGTTCCCACACCGGTCGGTCCCACCGAACCTTCAAATCCCGATGCACAAACCCATGGCTGTGCATGTGGTCCACCCCCTGCAGGATCTGAAAAATCAAACGGGCAGCGTCAGGTTCTGCGAGACGCTTGGCTGGCTGAGCCTGACATAGAGACCTCACTTGGATTTCCAGGTGCACGCAGGACCGGGCCCCGGCGGTTAAAAAGAGTCAAGGGTCAAGAGGAAAAAAAAGAAGGAATGCCACGAACATTGGAGAAAAAATCACATCTGCTAATTTTGGGATGTTCATGCGTGATGGCGTGAACTCATGTTTGACCAACATGCCCTTCTCATTCCTTCTCACTGCCATTCTTGGGTCCTCTTTGGCCATGATACCTTAAGGTCCCGCCGCCGCAAAACTCCAAGAGCATGTAAATGTAGCGATCATCTTCCACAATCCTGAACTATTCCCTGGCCCAAAAAGAATCATTGAAGAATTGAAGAACAAGCACCACAAAAAATACAATTGCCCACTCTTAATTACTGTGCATGATACTCCGTGAATTTGTGAGTACTAAGGAGGGAACACAGCGACACACTGATTAAGGGTCATCCAAAGCATGCACTGAGAGCACCCAAGTTTCGACATCAGCCTCAACAAATGCTTATGCCGCAACGCACCCTGGATTCCAAGTTCCCTCTGCATTTGTGGAAGCCTCATGAGCCCAGGAGTTGCTTCGATACTGGATCTCGTATCTGCTAAATCGAGCACTCCAAGCGATGCTCAGCTGTTTTTTTGGAACAAGCTCTGACAACACGATTACGTTTCAAGGCACCGTGTTAAGGCAATGGCAAGGGCTGACTTTCACAAGAAAAACGACGTGTCAACCCGTTTGATCTTTAAGTTGTTTTGCACTCAAACACTGTTGAGGGAGGGGCATCTGTCGAATCTCCAATGGCTGCTTCTCCACGATCTTCAACGCCATCTGGACATGGACAACGATCCCATGAGTTAGAATCTAAAACGACATCACAAATAAAATGTTTGGGAATGTTTCTTCTGTTTACCCTCCACTGGACAGCCGCACTGTTTTGTTAAGGTTCCCACCTCTCTCCCAGTCTTTCTGTGCCGCAGCTTGCGCACAGCCGCATATGCGCCACTGCCCAACTGCGGTGCCAAAACGTCCAACTCAAAGCCACAGGCGTCAAGCTGTGGGGGAAGCTGGGCGGACTGCGCAAGTGGCATGCGGGTAAGGCACATGGGTGGATCTGGCCTCACAAGCAAGTCCGGATTCACTCACACCATTCATTATAAAACTGGGGTCATAACTTTTGATAACCCAACCGTCTCATCAGCCAACCCACCCCTCACTATCAGGAAAGGCCATTCTAGTTTCTTAGCCAAAAACAAAAACTACACCAGCTGATCCTGTTTCAGGTCGCAGGATCAAGCGTGGCACTGCTGGAATCCGGTCCCGTGCCGAGGCAGTTTCACCCACATCTGGCACTGCTAAGCTGCGAAAGCCTTGCGGAATGGCTTGGGAAACCGGGACCGGTTTGGGCGTCAAGGACAAGGCCGGCGGTTCTGGCGCTGGCGCCGTGGCCTCCGCCGAGGTCTCCACCGCGGCCTCCGTTGTGGCCTCCGCCATGGCTTCTGCCGTGGCCTCCGGCTTGCCCTCCGCCGTGGCCTCCGGCTTGGCGTCCGGTGGGGCCCCCGGTGACTGGTCGCCGTCGTCGTGGTGCGTCCACATCATCGATGGCAGAAATGTTTTCCTTCGATAGATTTCGTTTCTTCCTGGCTTTCGGCCTGGTTCGGCGCCATGGCTCGAAGCGCACGGTTCGGACAATTGTTTATTTTGATTTGTGTTCTCTCGCTCTCTCATCGACAGGATCGCTAAACACGTTCTGTATGTGATGTGTGCTTTTCGCGGCTTTGTTAACAAAGGTGCTGGCTTGAGCCTGCCGCAGTCAAACGGCCAACCACAATGATTGATTTCAACACGTGTCACCGCCACAGCTGATGGGTTTGCCCAACTGGTGAGGTCGAACAAACACGGTGCACACTAGTGCTCGGGTAGGCCCGGCCCTTGCACAAGTTCGGCGGAGGCACCGGCTATGGTTTGGTCACATGTGGTTGCATCCTCGGTGGGCTGGGGCCCCAGACCCCGCAACGGTAGTAGCAGGAACCAGCTGGTTTGAAGGTCCTAAATTGTCTAGATTTTTGGAGATGGTTGCGACAAGCAAATCCTGCTTGGCCTCGATGTACCCCTTGGTGCCTTGGAGCCCTACCTAGCGCGGTCAGGCCCGACACCTACATAGTGAGTTGAGAGAAGAACAGGCCTAGCGGGCTAGCGGTTCGGGCCCTGGAATAACTTTAAACCCGGGCTTTGCCGAAGGTGCGGAAGGGAGGACTTAGCCTGACCAAAATATAATTGTCCGGTGCGGGTGGGCTGGATCGCCCGCAGGCCGAGTCGAATGGGCTGGTGGCTTGAGTGCAGGTCGGGTTGGGTATGTAAGAAGTCGGGTTGGTGCGGGTGGCACACGAGGTATGTTCTCAACATGCCTGAATTGAGACAAAAGAGCGAAAGGTGAAGAGTCACCAGGAACATATCAAAGCCACAGAATCCAAACGCAACAAGCCTGTGTAACACCGGGTGTTTGTCAACTTTGGTGTATGTAACAGCTGCGGCGTGTAAGACCTGCCTGGTGCTGGACAAATGCTGTCGTATGTCACATGCGGGCTCCGCACAAAGAGTTGCGGGTTGCGGGGAATGGTTGCTACAACATGTGTGGTCCTGGTGAGGTTTGTCAACACACCTTTGCGCGGAGGCCGTGTTGCGTCTATGCCGTTTTGTGATCCATGCGGTGGTTGAACGGTGTGCAAGCGCTCGCATGCGTCCATGCTTGGAGGAGTTTGACTAAAGCTTTGAAGCTCGCTTCTACAGTTAGAGGATCAACATTTTTGGGAACAGTTACTACATGGCCAATATTTTCAATGAACAGTGCACATCTTTGAGGGAACAAGTGTTGAAAGGGGAACGTTCTCGGCAGAAGTGGGCCACCCAAGAAGAACCAGACCAGGAAATAGAAAACAAACGCTGACTGGTGCTTAGAAGGGAATAGGGGAATGAACCCCCAATAGGGATTGAATTCGCAGAAAGGAAAAGAGATCACCCAGAAAGGATACCACCAGACACTTCTAGGAACCCCGCTCTTGACAAGATGAAATCAATCCGTGAAGAATGATATGGATAGAGAGAACTATGGCGGCAGAGTGAACTAAAATTCGAGCGTTCATACTACCGAGAAGACAAAATTATACTGGAAACCATACCTAGCATGTAGAGTATGTATCTATAGGTTCTTTGATGTGACTACTGGCGCAGCACAAAGCACGCCAAGCCCCGCCACTCCTCCAACACTCTAGCACAACAGCCTTGATAGCCCAGGTGGTCACCACTCTTGACACATGCTGCCCAGCAAGCCTTTGCGGCATCCTTGCTGAAACCTCACAACGCCTCGCCCTCATACGACCACCGAAGGTAACGAGCCAACATTCAGCCAACTTCTTGCCGAAGCACCCCCCCCCCCAACCCCACAGCCAGCCGGCTCCCCCCACATTAAGCATCTTCTTCCGCAAGGGGTTTGGATTTTTGCCCCCCGCTAAGCACATCTGGAGACTGGCCAGTATAAACACCGTCAGCAGCGAACTTGACTTGGACCTCACGCGGAAAAAGGTTCGCTGGGAGGACAAAAGAGTTGCAGCCATTTGGGACTCAGGAAAAAAGTGCGCATAACCAGTTCTAGCACACAGCAGTCACGTATTGATGAGTCAACCATTTTGGTGACCAAACCCCCCTCGCCAGCACCACTAGCTCCGCCCACCATAACATGACATCTGCCTACGGACAGCCGCGCCAACAAGGCCCCTACAATGAGGTTGCGCAACTCGGTCCTCACGCAATGCATGCACGCCCGCGGGCTCTACAAACTGCAGGTTGGGGACCACGAACCCCACTGGGGACCGCGAGCAAAGCGTTTTTTGCAAATCAATGGATACTCCGCGACAAATTTGTCTCTGTCAGGGCACGCCTTCACTTTTTAGAATCTGTTGTGACTTCAGTCGCTTGCTCTGGAGCTGGATATAGGACTGTGCACCAGCAGGATTATTAAATGCAATGAATGTTGAATCTCGGATTTTTTTTTTGCTAACCCTTTTGCCGAGATCCTGCTATTTACATCCAGTAAAAAAAATATCAGCAAAGGGGGAGCAAAACATTTCTAAACTTTTGCGTTCCCTTGTGGGCCCTCCTGGCAACATTTCTTGGGATCAACCTTGGCACGACATACTGCATCTTTGGAATGAAAAGGTATGGCGCTTGACCGAACTGACTTCGACAACAGATTGGGCGACCGTTGTCCTTCGTCCCCATTGGAAATTTGGCGGCTACGTGGCGCGGTTGCCAGAGAATCGTTGGACCAAACGTGTACTGAATTGGCGCCCTGCCAGCCGGCGAAAGGTCGGAAAACCATTTGCAACTTGAGATACTTACTTCGAAAAATTATGCAGGTACAACGGGTTGGGAACTTGGTATGTGGTGGCTGCTGATGTGGACTTGTGGCGCTCCTTGCTGGACGAGTTCGTGCTATTTTGTTTCCGGAGTTGATTTCATTTCCCGGGATGATGTTTTTGAACCAAAGAAGTTCTTGTTTTTCACCCCGCCTGCGCCCTAAATGGGCCGCCTTCGGACGTGCAGGCGCAAAGTCAAAGTCAAGTTATATTTACACCCTTCATGCCCCCCTCATCAACTGAGCTTAAGCGTATTTCCAATACACATGACCACTCCTTAAAGGTTGTTGACTTCTTGCATTCAACTGCCTTGTGTATTGCCTTAGTTGCTGATGCTGTTGCTAGCGTGCCCGGTGCTATAACGTGAGGGATTCTTTTAATCTCCTCCACCTTTCCTGACACAAATGTCCGGGGTGCAACGTGCAGCTCACAACAATTTGGCACCATGGTTTTCAAAGGCCCCCAATCTACGGCAAGCAAACTCAAAGTAGCCCTAACCAGGCTACGTTTCGTGATTTCATGGCCTCGTTGACTTGGAGTGCCTTATGCAGCTTGCAAAGCCAAGCCCATGCACCGCCAAGTTGCTTCCTCAGATGCAAACCTATATCGTCCCATTCGGAAATTTTTCGGCGTGGGAACAAGAAGTCCCGCATACGACGGTCAAATTTCTTGAATACAACGCAGACATTGATTGAACACCAGGTCACCAAGTAAACAGCCGCATGCCGAAATCGGTGCGTAACTTGACGTGTTCTCCAGGTGGGCGCGCCTGCCCGTTGCCACATCGTCATGCCTGTTTTATTCCTCCCGCCGATGGCAAGCGGCTGGGAAAGGGGCCCCCGTCTGTGTAGGAAGTCAGGATGTCACAGAGGTTTGTGGAGGCGGGCGCGGGCAGCGTAAGGAGGCTGTTGGCAAAAAATCGCGTGGCAGTGGCTGCCAAGAGGGCCGTCCATCTCGGGAGCGGCTTGGCGGAGGTTGGGGGGGTTTGTCTCACGTCCAAAAACGACCAGTTCTGGGTACAAGGGAACCTTAGCGCAAGGCTGCACCTGTGCATTGGCCCCGGTGCCGTCTGTCGGCCTGCTGGTGTGAGAGAGGACACCACAATAGTGTCAATCGCGAACTGAAAACCATTCCAGAGGGGAGGGACATTGGCTCCAAATGTGCACGGGCAGTCGCGCTGTTGGCGCCCGAAACGTGCGCGCATCAAGGGTAGTGGCAGCCGGAGACGTCTGAGCAGCAGGACCCGGAATTGCGACGAACCCCGGATGAGCTCATGGGAGACAGGGAACAACATGAAAATGTTCGCTGCCAATGGCCCAGACTGGCAATCCAAGAGTGCTTGGGAAAGGCCTGCAAGATGTTCCGGCGATCTGCAGCTGGATCGTGTTGAAGACATGTCCTTTTTTGCGGCGCGCTAGCATGTGTGCACTGCGTTGTCGTGGCTCTGTGGCCAAGTGGGAAAACTCCGAGCATGAAACATCAACTCACGCCACTGCCGTGTGGAATCCTCCACCTGCACCCAGCCCGATTGAAAAGGAACCGATCCAGGGAGCTCCTCCGGCAGGTCCGGACCCGTGAGTCGGTCATAGCCCTAACCGTTCAAGGTCCAGCACAAACATTGACTCCCACAACTGTCCAGCCTGCAAAAACCATTTTCCAGTTCTATCACAACAACGTGTTAAAAATCATTGACCATCCATGACCTTCCAAAGATGTGCGTTTACCCGCCTTCTTTGTTATCCCTGTTCTTTGCCTTCTCACTTTGTCTAGTTTGTTGTCCTCGATGTCTTTTCGTGCTGGCCCCCCATTGGTTGCGCAAACTGTGCGAGCGTGCAACCCGGCGCGTAAGCTTTAAATGTGCCCACGTGCAGAAAAAGAAATCGAATGAAACGGCATTGTTGTGGAAGTGGTTCAAACTGTCGTCACGCGGTCTGTTTTCCAAGGAGGCATGAGGGTTTAGACGGTGTCTTGTCCCTCCGACTGTCTTTCACCTCGATTGCTTTAGTAAAGTCACAGCCTGGATTTGTCACCAAGACTTCCTTTTGTTTCAAACTAAGGATGGCGAGCCGCACGGTATTTGGGCAATGACAGAGGGTTCTGGCACATCGGAACCCAGACGGTCCCCACCACCAAGCATCCCTTGTGATTTGTGTCTATGTTAACCGCTAACCGCGTTGTGGGCAC